AAAACATAATGACCACATCAAAAAACATATAACTTTTATGTAAAAAAAAAAAACTGTATCTGCATTATGACAGAAAGGGAACAGAATTTCATTTTATGTTGCTGGGGTTTCTTATATAAAGAATCAATCCTCCTACCAACACATAGATACATTTTTTAAAAGCTAACAGTGTGTTTATGTCTGGCCAAGAGCACACTGGTGTTTTCTTGGCCAAAAAAAAGGTGGGGGGGAGATTATAATACAGATATAAATATATAGATACATATCTATCTATCGGGAAGACTCTTGGAGAGCACTTGGGAATGAACTTGTTTGAGGGTTATTTTTTGTTATAGAGAATGAGGACTCTCAAATAGCACTGCCCTACGATCTCATTTTTATTTGATATTTTCAGCGTCCTTTCATATCCATTTCATTTTTATTCTCAAAAAAGCACTAGAGGATAGTCAAGGCAGTCATTTTTCCCCTTCCTTCCAGGTTATAAAATTGAGGCACAGAGAGGCCAGAAACTAAGAAAATGAGTTTTGGAGCCAAGGTTTCATGACTTCTATAACCCTAGATTCCTTCTACCAGGACAGTGGTACCTCTCAAGAAGCCGTGAATCAGAATTTCATAAACTGTGGTTTCACCAAAGCAAAATAATTTTGATTTGGCCGGCTATTGAATCAAACTTGGTGTCCAGCAATATATTAAGTAATATGAATATGGAAATATAGAAGAAACTATAAAAACCATAGAATTTGAAGGTTCACACAGAGGAAAAGAAATAAATCCAGACTGGTTCCTAGGTTTATAGTCAGAAGCTTCTAGATCTGTAGTCTGACAACTTGTGACTTTGAATAAAGGACAAAAATATCCAAATAAGTACCAGTATTTGAATATAAAGTGGCTCATTGAATGCCATATGGTAGGGACTTATACAAATTTTTCACTTTGTGTAAGAAAACATGCTCTTTCCTTTTATCTGTCAAAGTTAAAACTAGGTTTTAACATCTGGTTTTTTTTTTTTTTGCAATAATGATTTTAAAAATGGTTTTTAAACCTAAAAGGACAATGCGGAGACTATAGTCAAATTATACATACATATATAATACAAATACTAATGAGTTTGGCTTACACATGGCCTATATACTAGAAGGAAAAATAAATCAATGTGTTTTGGCATGTGAGGTGAGTGATTTCTAAGTTTCCGTCTGCCCTGAAATTATAAGATATTTTTATGGATGGGAGAAAAGGGGAAACTCTTACTCCCAACTCTACTCGCTTCCTCTTACTGGAATATTAATCTAAGATTCCACATGCTATTAAGACTGCATTTATAAATGATGATGGTGGAGGGGAAACTATTTCTTTAAAAAACCATGCTTTCCAGTCACACACTCCTTTTGATCTTTCCCTGTGCCATTCTGAGGCAGCCGGGTTGGGGATGGGGAGGAGATGCCTCTTTAGGAAAACAGTCTTCTAGCTTCTCTCTCAACTCCTGCTTATCTAGAGCTGGATTAGTGAGCCAGATGCCCTCAGTATGCCCCTAGCCACATAGCTCTTTCTTCTTTTTTGTCTAATTTGTTGACAGAATGCATGCTTTTGGGCATGAAAATTACATTATTTGGTGACAAGATTTGAGAATCTCCCTTCTTCCCTTAGGGCTTAAATTTAAGTCCTGTTTCCAACTAAATTACCAGAGAGCTTTGCATCAAGGATTATGATGATTATGACATCATAAAGTGAATGTGTTGTTTCCCATTTGCCATTTCCCCTTACGCTAAAGCCTCTGAGGAGCATCAAGGGAGAGAGTAGCTGTACTTGGGTGCTTGGGCCGTGTGTGTGTGGGGGGGGGGTAGGAAGGGGAATGTTTATGGACACTATTGAGTCCTCTGGTCGCAACACCACCTGTGCATTACAATTCCGTCATCCTCCCCACAAACCTGATTCTACCCCCAGGAAGGCATAATAGAAATGGAGCAAAAAAAGAATCAGGCGAGATGGGAAGGGTAGGGAGGCCAACTGAGGACATTTTCAAACATGAATCATTCTTCAAAATTTGAAAATATCAAACTAATACTTAACCATCACACTTATGAAAGCAAGAATGTTTGTAGAAAAAAAAAATTAAAGGTAATCTATTAACTAAATTTATAGGTTCCCAGACATAAAACTTACTCCAATGAAGGACTCTCAGTGGCAAATTTTTCCAGGAAAAAAAAAGGAGATGAAGAAATATTATCAATTCTATTGTTGTAAAGGGAAGTATGGACCTAGGTGAGTGAGTGTGTGAGTGTGTGTGTGTGTGTGTGTTCAGTTGACAATGACAGAAAAATGGGTACAGATTCAATTTTTAACTCTAAGAAATGTCTGGTGATAGCTGAAACTCTTGTTGTTTTCTTCTTAAAATTCTTAATGTTTATTTAGAGATGGAGAATGGGGGGGGGGGGGGGGAGAGAAGGAGACACAGAATCTGAAACAGGTTCCAGGCTCTGAGCTGTCAACACAGAGCCGGACATGGGGCTTGAACTCACAAACTATGAGATCATGACCTGAGCCAAAGTTGAATACTTAACCAATGGAGCCACCCAGGTGCCCCTAAAATTCTTGTTATAAAAACAAAACAAAACAAAAACCAGGCTGTGACAATGACAAAGTAGCTGAAATAAATGTTTCTCCCAATGATACATATTTAAAAATCTGAGCATGGAGTACCAGATAAGCTCCTCACTGAAGCTCACGATTTTGTGTTTGGTGTTGAAAGCAAAAGTGTCACCACTATACTAACAGTAAGAAAAATGGACCATTACAGCATCATGATTTATCTTGAGACTTGTCAGAGAATTGAGGTTGCATGGTAACCAAGCAAACCCTATTCCAACAAGAAAAAAATACTCTTCAAGGAAAGACAAGACACATGAATGGCCGCGCTTTGGGGACAGCACGGCAAATGAAAATGAGTAAGCAGAAATCTGCTAACACTTTAACTGATGACCTTCTTTGTCTGCCTAGAGATTTCATCCGTGGTGGCTGACAGCAGAACCGGGCCAATTTATGGAAACGTCAATTGGATGCACCCATCATTTGAACTTTTACAAAGTGTATTAGGTACTGTAATATTGTAAGAAGATTGTCAAGAAATTTCTGATAGACATTGTCCTAATCTAAAACTTTCTCATTTTCTCTTCGAAAATCTTGTTCTAAACCCAACAGGGAATCATTTCTGAATCTGTCATTTTGCCTGGGGTTGCTTCAATATGGAAAAGAAAAGGGATGATGGAATTCAGTCAGGGGAGATGGCAACTTTGTTTGCCTCTCAGCCTCTGAACATATGTGCTCTACACTGACAATTCAATGAAGCATCTCATGGTGAATTATAATTAATTTCTATTTTAACTGTGAGCAGTTATTCTACTGAAGCAGGAAAGTCTACATATATACAATAAAGGACTTTGGCCAAAATTTTTGATATAACCATCATATCAGTGCCACTTTATACCTTGAAAGTCATGGACTCTACTAGTTCTCTTTTTTTAACTGTTTTCTTTAATATTTATTTATTTTTGAGAGAGAGAGACAGAGCACATGCACACACGTATGAGTGAGGGAGGGACAGAGAGAGAGAGGGGGAGACAGAATCCGAAGCAGACTCCAGGCTCCAAGTTGTAAGCATAGAGCCTGACGCGGGGCTCGAACTCGCGAACAGTGAGACCATGATCTGAGCTGTAGTTAGACACTTAACCGACTAAGCCACCCAGGTGCCCATCTGTTAGTTCTATCTTTAAATCAGTAATGGTGATAGATTTGAAAGGTTAAAGTTGTGTTTTTACTTTGTCACATTAAGCTGAAAAAGACATGATTTCATTGATGGTAAGATCACTGGTATTATCTGTAATAGCAAAACTAAATAACTTTTCACTAAATGTTGTCAGGTGTTTGTCAGAAAAATGACTATCAAAAACTGCTAGAACCCAGTGGGCTATACTTTACAGACACATTGAGAGTCTGAGGTTCATCACTTAGTAGTAGCTGGAGACCTTTAGGCAGGTTACGTGATTTTTTCTATCACTCAGTTCTCTTATCTGCAATACCTGGATGGTGATAATATTTAAATTATAGGATTATTATGAAGATTGAAAAGCTAATCCATGTAAGCATTCAGCCTGACAGGTAGAATAGGATACCAATGACCAAGGAAGGTAAGTGAGACCTGAATTAACATCCTGTCATCCCCACTATACAGAAACTATACCTCATTACAAGCTACATGTTTAAGGAGCCAGGACTGGTAAAGGATAAACTCAGGCTGAAACATGTGTGGAGACTTGCAGATTTAATTTTTTTCCTTTCTATCAGACTTCTTCACTGAGACATCTAATTTGGTTATCTGAATCATAAATGTTTCTGGTGAAATATTTTTCAAACCAAGAAAGCAATAAACCCATGCAAAATGGCAGATGCCAAACTCATGTAACTTTTTAAGAAATGTTCTCAGGGAGCCTGGGTGGCTCAGTCGGTTAGGCATCTGACTTCAGCTCAGGTTATGCTCTCATAGATTGTGGGTCCGAGCCCCAGGTTGGGCTCTGTGTTGACAGCTCAGAGTCTGGAGCCTGCTTTGGATTCTGTGTCTTCCTCTCTCTCTGCCCCTCCCACACTCATGCTCTGTGTCTCAAAACTAAAAAACATTACAATTTTTTTAATGTTCTCTAAATTCATAGATTAAAAGAAAACTGAAAATCATCCAAGAACAATCTGAACTTTGAATATTCAACTCATCTTACTAGATAAATTAATGGTTAATTTAATTAATAGTTAAATTGATGGTGGCTTCTCAAAATAATTCTTTTTTACTTTCAATAATACCTTATTTGCAATTATGAAGTTGCATATAATTATTTAAATTGCAACTGCAGAACTAAATAGCAAAAAGTGATCACAATAAACAACATTGATATGCCTATTAAAGGAATATTTTTTCATAGCAGAGGAAAAAAAGCTCAAAATGTCAGAGCACTTACTGCAGCTTGCCGGTGAGTATTGGACAAAATTCCATGGATCTTCACTTTGTCCTTTTCCATCTGGTCTATATTCACCCACAAACTCCGGCTGGCTGAATCAGAGGGACCATATATCCGAGATATATAGTAATTATGATCTGTGTCCTCCTGTAATAAAAGAATAATGCACATCAAGAACAGAGATAACATGGGAGGAAATTGAAGGCATTATGCCAAGCAAAAGAAGTCAGACAAAGACAAATACTGTCTGTTCTCACTTACGTGCAGAATCTTAAAAGAGCTGAACTCCACCAGGGCACCTGGGTGGCTTAGTCAGTTAAGTGACTGACTCTTGATTTCAGCTCAGGTCATGATCTCACAGTTGTGAGATACAGACCTGTGTGGGGCTCTGCACCGGGCATGGAGCCTACTTAAGATTCTCTCTCTCCCTCTTCTTTGGCCCCCTGCCCCCCTCCCCCCAGGCTCACATAGGTCTTTGCATTCTCTATATAAATAGCTGGATAGATAATAAAATAATAAAATAAAATAAAATAGAACAAAACGAAATGAAACAAAAGAAAATAGCTGAACTCATAGAAAAACAGAGTCAATGGTGGCTGTGGGATGAGGGGTATTGCCTAAGGAGTACAAATGTCCAGTTATAGGACAAATACGTTCTGGGGATATCATCTACAGCATGGTGACTATAGTTAACAATACTGTATTATATACTTGAAAGTAGATAAGACAATGTATCTCTCACCACAAAAAATAAATGGTAATAATGTAATAGGATGGAGGTGTTAGCCAGTGCTATTTTGTAGTATACAGCGAACCAAATCAACAGGATGTACTTTTAAATGTACACAATGTTATATATAAATTACATTTCAATCAGGCTGGGGAAAAAAAGAAGGATTTAAGTCTTTATATACTCAATTTATATAATTTCCAGAGTTATAAACAGAGTTCCATTTAAAAGAAAATAAAACCTTCAAAAGAAAAGGGGAAAAAAAACCCCAAACAAACCCTAGAGTTATTGTCCCTAAAATTCTTTAAAAATCAAACAAAAAATGATACTATGAAACTAGAAATGTTACTATGCTTCAAAAGCCCAGAAGAGTTAAGTAACCTGTAAGGGAAGTGAATTAGATTTAAAAATACATAAAATGAGCCTCTTTAGAGGAAATTGTTAAATAAATAAAACACAGAGGAAAACGTATGGTCTGTTTACAACAGTCTTTTTACCATAGTGATTCTAGGGATCTAATTGCTGCCCAAACAAAATGTCACTTTTGGAGCTATTTACTGAAAACCTGAACTATAATTACTATTGAGTGACAACAAACCCAAACTTCTCTTCTTTAAAACTAGGGTTATATGAAGGCCTGCTTTCAGTTAATGATCTCAGAAATGGAAATAATGCATTTTCCCCCTATAATTTGGATTATTAAATTCTACTTTTATTTGAATTCTCACTATTGATTATCACAATAGTGACTGTCACAAAACCTTTAATTTTCATGTTCTCACTCAATGAAGAGATTTAAATGTTTTAAAAGCCAATTTTAGTGAGAAAAACCCACAAAAATCATATGATTCCTGACTAACTCGGATTCCAGTGAATTTTTTTAGCCATAAAACGTTATTGTGCTTACCAATTTGAGGAGTTATTTAGGTAAAATAAATTTAAAAACATTCATGTACAAAAAGTGTTTGTAAGAATGCAAGAATAATGTTTGGCAAATACAATGTATGTGATTTGAACCATAAAGTTTAGAACGTGAATTTTGTCTAATGCATTTGTTACTGAACTGCTAATTGAATAAACTACGATTTTTCTTGAAATCTAGTCAAAACAATTCCATGTACCTATTCACAAGTCATCAGGCTAGAAATTTATAAAACAGACTACATAAAGGAAAGGAATTTTCTAAGCAGCATTCTAAATATATTTTGCCCCATGACTAAAAGATAAAATATGACCTTAAATATAAATCTTGATAAAAGTGATTAAATGTTAACATTAAGATGAAAACAAAACAAAACAAAACAAGTACTGGGTAAACTTCTGATCTCTAATTAAACTCTAGTTATCACATACAAATTATGGGTTCAACTTTGATGAAAGATAAAAAAAAAAAGTTCTTCAGAGAAAGGAGAAAAAAAGGAGATACAAAGAAAGAAGCATGAATAAGATTCCATGCAGCCCAAGAGAGTTTTAATATCTTAGTGGTTTTCTAGCACTCCCTTCCAGACACTAACTGCCTGGGTTATGACACTAACTGCTTGGGTTCTGGGAGGGTAACATGCATTTGGTTGTGTCTTCAACACATGAGCAACTCCTTCCTACTATCTGGTGCTTCACCACCGGAAGCTTTGTAGTAGGTGGACATCAGAAGCACACAATCTAAAAAAGACCAATTAATGAGACATGTAGGAATTTAGGTAAAGAGGAGATAACTTCCTTTACTGCGATTGCTGAGATATGTAGGTATGTAATTTGGAACTATGGCCGCCATTTTGCTACATGAAGAAACCCTTCCTGAAGGTAAAGGAAACATGGATAAAAACAGAGCCATTGTATCTCTTACAAGGAAAGGGAAGGAAAGGGAAGGGAAGGGAAGGGAAGGGAAGGGAAGGGAAGGGAAGGGAAGGGAAGGGAAGGGAAGGAGCCAGATCCCTGATCAAGTGCATCTAGTGCATTTTGGGCTTGTACACTTAGATGAGCAATTAAATTTTTTAATTGTTAAAACACCTTAAATAGATACTTTTCCAAAGAAGACATACAGATGGCTAATAGACACATGAAAAGATGTTTGACATCACTCATTATCCAGGAAATACAAATCAGAACCACAATGAGATACCACTTCACACCAGTCAGAATGGCTAAAATGAACAACTCAGGAGACAGCAGATGTTGGTGAGGATGTAGAAAAAGGGGAACCCTTTTGCACTGTTGGTGGGAATGCAAACTGGTGCAGCCACTCTGGTAACAATATGGAAGTTCCTCAAAAAATTAAAAATAGAATTACCCTAAGACTCAATAATTGCACTAGTAGGAATTTATCCAAAGGACACAAAAATACTGACTCAAAGGGACACATGTACCCCAATGTTTAGAGCTGTGCTATCAACAATAGCCAAATTACGGAAGGAGCCCAAATGTCTATCAACTGATGAATGGATAAAGAAGATGTGGTGTATATATACATAAGGGAATACTACTCAGTGATGAAAAAAAAATAAAATTTTGCCATTTGCAACAACATGGATGGAACTGAAGGGTATTATGCTAAGTGAAAGAAGTCAGAGAAAGACAGGTATCATATTATTTCACTCATGCGGAATGTGAGAAACAACAGATGAACATAGATGAAGGGAAGGAAAAACAAGATAAAAACAGAGATGGAGTGAAACCATAAGACTCTTGAATACAGAGAGAACTTAAGGGTGCTGCAGGAGAGCTGGTGGGGGGATGAGTTAAATGAGTGATGGGCATTAAGGAGGGCACTTGTTAGATTGCTCACTGGGCATCACATGTAAGAGATGAATCATTGGGTTCTACTCTTGAAGCTAAGGCTGCATTGTGTGTTAACCAACTTGAATTTAAAACAAACAAACAAATAAACAAACATTAAAAAAAAAAAAAAACCACCTTGAGTTGAATTATTGTCGACGAACAGAATCCTAACTGACAAACATGTTTTGGTAACTTCCAAGAGGTTTAAGCAACATTGAGTAAGGCAATCTCATCTATAGATTTATAGACCTGGATAACAAACATCTGTTTAATTCTGGTATTTTAGCTAATTATACAGCTGAAAAGGAAACTTGTATCTAAACTGCTGGAAATCATCAAGTCTGAATTACAAATAATAATGATTAATTTAATTTTTCAGTGAATCACATATAAGGGAGTTTTGAAAAAAAAACAAGTTTAAATAAAATTTTTAATTTTTCTCCCTGTTGTTTGTAGTATTATAAAGAGTTTAGCAACACAGAGATGTGATCTTTAGGTGAATTATGTAACAGATTCTATCATGCGGCCAATGATCTTATTACCATATAAATTACCATATAAATACCAAATAGATATTCTCTTTAAGATTGCACACTTTCAGTAAAGAGCTCAATGTAATTATTGCAATCAACATATCTAAAATGACTTTGGTATTTCCCTTAACTCCTAAATCTCTATAACAAATCAAGAAAAAGTCTTAAAGTTAAGATAAAGAATATTATTATACTTAAATAATGGATTATCTACAAAAAATATGGGTGATTTTTGTCTAATTACAATCACTGATATGTCTAATTGAAAATAATGTTCATTTTTACATAAATCAGAGCTTCCCAAGGTAATGTCACATCTTTGAAAGTATTGAAAAACTAAAGACTAGAGTTTGGTGTTTGACTTCTACAGACCATGCTTGCCAAGCTGTCATGGTGACTTTCATTCAAAGACAATGACAATTTACAGTTTACCTAGGAATTTAGAGACATAAGTTTATAAATTCCAGGGAGAGGTGTTTGGCTCTATTTTTCAAGGAAAGCCATAAAATAGATGTCCTAAAAAAGTGACATTTTAGCACTACTAAATTATTCAAACCACATCTTGTCCTTTATAGGAGTAATGGTACTTAAAGAGTTGTCAAAAGCCACTTCAGGCACAAAGATTTTCCTTTTCTGCTCAAAAGCAAACTGTATTAATACCATAGAAAACGAAACAAAACACTACTGTGATATGCCTACTTGCCAATTCATTTAGGAAGCAAACTGTTACTGAAAGTGGATGGCACAGTAGGTAGCTATAAATCCTATAAATCCATGTTTCTCAAATATGTCTACAAATGTGCAGCTGTAAACAAAGGACAAACACCAAAAATACAGAGGGAAAAATCATCATGACTGTACCTAACCATTCTGCAACCATCAGCTTACACAATTGTGACCCAAATGTTGTCTTCTTTTCTATTATTGATATTACATTGGTTGTATGAAGGATAATTTTTATGGGTGCCTCACCCTGTCTTATGCAGTAATAGCATTTGAACTCTAAATTTATTTCACTGAGAACTTAAAAAAAAAAAAAAAGGATTGGATTGTATGAATATCACTGTGCTAGTCATCTGAAATACGTAAACATAATCAAAGTGCTTAGTTAAATGTATTTAGCATCAAATCAATTGGTTACCTCTCAAAGGCAGTTTGATAATGAATAAAGGAAAATTATAATTTGAATGGTTCTTACCAAGTGTTAATATATAACAACTATATTACCTTCTCACATAGCATGAGTTCTCAAGGACTACATAATGCCTAGAAAGGTAAATGTTTAAAAGTAATTTTTTAAAATATTATTTGTGTATATTAAATTCCTCAAAACCAGAGTTAAAACTTAGTTCTCTATGATCAAAAAAAAATAATGTTGATATAAGAAACTAAAAATGTGATATAATAATAAACTAAGAAAAACAGTGAGCTGATAGTACTCAGGGAGAAAATTATGGAGCTGAATTCATTAGCTACAATAAGAGAATAAACATGACTAAATTCCTAGTTAGGACACAGAAAACAGTCTTGAGAAGTATACACAAGATGAAATGGAAAAGAATAAAATAAATATCTAAGATAATCATATAAACTGCAGAAAAAGATCATATATATGATATATAGATACATCATATATCTATATCTATACATTCATACACATAGTGACATAGAACCATTATTTATTTATTTATTTTTATGTTTACTTATTTGAGAGAGAGAGAGAAAGCACAAGCAGGGGAGAGGATCTGTGCTGTGTTGACAGCACAGAGCCTGACATGGGCCTCGAACCTACAAACCATGAGACCATAACCTGAGCCAGAGTCAGACACTTAAGTGACAGAGCCACCAAGGCACCTGAAAAGTTTTTCTTTTTTTAATGTATTAGAAGAACAATTATTCTGAGGTAAAGGAAAACTTGAATCTATATACCATGTCCCAGGAAAAGATACAAAAGACTTTTGAATATTAAGAAATTTCCTGGTGAGGTGTAGAGGGACTTCTACAAGATGGTGGTGTAGGGAGATCCCGTACTCACCTCCCCTCATAGACATACCAAATCTACAACATATGAATCATTTCCCTCTGAAAAAGATCTGCAAACTAGGTGAACTGCTTTTCGGCAGTAAAGGATAAAATACCACATTGAGATGGGTTGGAGAAGCAGAGACATTGTCTCACCAAAATCTCATCCAGGTGTGAGGACACACAATAGGGAGGGGTCTCACTCACTGGGCGCCTGTCCTGGAGGAGTGAGGAGTTGGTGACCCACATTAGGTACCCAGACCCTCCCTGGGATCTGCCGGAGAAATGAGCCCCTAAAATATCTGGTTTGAGAACCAACAGTGCTCTGATGTCCAAGGGAACCAAACTGCGATAGGAAACCGAGATTCCCTTTTTAAAAGATTTGAGTTAAGTCTCACTTGTCTCCAGACCCAGTAGGAAAAAAGAAAAAAACAACTTGGAAAGCACCTGAACTATATGTGAAATTCATTTCCTCATCTAAAAGCATCTGCTACAAAAATATAAATACATACATACATACATACATACACCTGTTGTAGGTGGAATGACTGACTGACTGACTAACTAACTAACTAAATGCAGCTGCTGTAGTAGGTGGACAGGTGAAACTCTCCCTGGAGATGGAGGCAGTGGGGGATGCCATTTTTACATTCTCCACTTACCCTGCTAGCACAGGTGGGTGAGCTCAAACTTGGCAGCCTCCTGCACCTTGCCAAGACAGGTGGGGGTGAGTGGTGATGGCACTATCCTGCTGCCCAGATGAGGGTGTGGTGCAGGTGGTGGCAGTGCCCCCTCGCTCCGTGGATGGGGCAGGTGAAGACGAATGGTCGTAGCTTTCTCCCGCTCCCTAACTAAAGTCAGAGAGTGGGTCCTTGCGGTACTTTACTCCCTGCTCCCTGGCTAGGGTTGGTGAGCCTGGGTGGTCGCGGCACTCTCCCACTCCCAGCCTACAGCTGGCACACACACGGACAAGGAACTCTCCCATCGCCCATTGCATTCCTGAAGCCCACAGGTGAGTGCAGTCAAGATATTTTCCCCACTGTCTTTCTGAAGCCAGTGAGCATGCCCTTCCCCTACACTCTCTAGCTGCCTAGCTAAAGCCAATGGGTGCATGCAATCTACACATGGACAGCTTCCTCCCTTTTAACTGCCTGGCTCCCCCAGGAAAGTAATAATCAAAGGATAGTTCTTGAGTTCTTATTAGACCACTGTAACCCAGTTGTCCTGTGAAAAAGGCTTATTTAACTTAATCTGGAGCTTCAGCCTGAGAAATAGGCTTCAGGCTTCCCACACATTTGAAGGCTGGGGAGGCACTCCCAAAGAATGTAAGCAGGGAGACACCATACTTGCATATCCCTTTGGCCTCGTGATAGCTCAGCTTGAGAGAATGGAGATTAAATACTCATCTGGAGGCCCAAGTTTTGCAACTGTCCCCCAGAGGACACCTCCAGATCTCCTGACTTGGAAGCCAGCAGGGATTATGATAATGGCCCCATAGGACTGTAAGTATTTGTACACTGTAAAAACTGCTGCCTCAGGGTCTGACTTCTTGTTTCCAACCTGAAACTAAGTGCTAAATGAGATTCCCCACCTTAGAACACTGATGGATCTTCGTATACTCCTCCAAACAGGGACATATCAAGGATAAATCACTTGTTTTAGAAAATCACAAAGAATCAAGAAACAACCAAGAGCTAGGACAAGTTTGAACAAGATGTTTCATCATTTACACAGGCCACTTCTTCAGACTGAGAGAGGTAGCTATTTCACCTGTCACACAAACAAACACAGAGTCAAAGAAAATGAGGAGACAGAGAAATAAATTGTAAATGAAAGAAAAAGGAAAAACCCTATGGAAAAGATCTTAATGATACAAAGACTTCTTTACCAGGTAGATAAAGAATTCAAGTAAAGATCATAAAGATGCTCACTGAAGTCCGAGGAAGAATGGATGAACACAGATGAGAAGAATAGATAAGAACTTCAAGAAAGAGAGAGAACATGTAAGAAAGTATCAAATGGAAAGCATAGAACTGAAGAATACAATAACCAAACTGAAAGATACACTAGAGAAATGGAGGGGTCCAAATGCAGACTGGAGGGAGTAGAAGAATGAATCATTAAGCTGGAAGACAAAGCAATGGAACTCACCCAGACAGAGCAGTAAAAAAGTAAAAAAAAAAATTACAAAAATAAAGATGGCTTAAAGAACTTATGGGACAACATCAAGCAGAATAACACTTGCATGAAAAGATGCTGCACATAACTTATCAGGGAAATGCAAATCAAAACCACGATGAGATATCACCTTACATCTGTATAAAAGTTATTATCTAAAAGACAAAAAAAAATAAGTATCGGCAAGTATGTGGAATAAAAACACTGTGAGCTGTAGATGGAGATGTAAATTGGTTCAGCCACTATGAAACGCAGTATTGAGGTTTCTCAAAAAAATTAAAAATAGAACTACCAAATAATACAGCAATTCCAATGCTTGGTATCCATTTGATAAAAACAAACACACTGATTTGAAAGATATGTGAATCTCTGTGTTTAGTGAAGCATTATTTATCATAGCCAAGATGTGGAAACAACATAAGTATCCATTGTTGGATGAATGGATAAATATGTGGCATATATATATACAGGGTACTGCTGCTCAGCCATAAAAAAAAAAAAAGCAATTAAATCTTGCTATTCGTGACAGCATGGGTGCATCTTGAGGGCTTATGCTAAGTGAAATTAAGTCAAGCAGTCCACCATAAGTGGAATCTAAAAAACGAGACAAAATAAAACTCAGGGTCATAAATACAGGTAACAGACTGGTGGCTGGCAGAGGGTTGGGGTGCAAATTGGGTGAAGGGACTCCAGAATTATAAACTCCCAGTTATGAAAGGAGTAAGTCACGGTGATGTGATGTTCATCATTAGGATATTCTTCAGTCCCATAAAGAATACTCTAGTAACTTTATATGGTGACAGATGATAACTAGACTTATTGTGGTGATCACTTCACAATGTATACACATATGTTGAGTCACTATGTTGTGCATCTGACACTAATATAATGTTATATGGCAATTACACCTCAATAATCTTTTTAAATTAAAAAATGAAGCAGAGAGAGGGGGCAAGATGGCGGAGAAGTAAGGAGCTCCGTACTTGCACTCGCGCCCATACATCACACAGAAAAGATCTGAAGCCATTGGAAACCTTACAAAACCTGAGAG